AAGCATCTCAGGTATGAGGTGAGTAAGACTTGGGGTTCATAGCGCACCCCAGGGACACAGATCAGACGCTCAACCGCGTCAGTGGCTAAGTGGCTTCCCTTACTGACTTAAACTGCCTCGTGTGCAGTGTCAGGATCGCATCAGTAGCCTTTTGGGCCTCCTGAGGATCACGCCACCTATCTTCCACCAACTTAAGGAATTCATCCAATTTCTGGGTGACCGCCCAAGCGCGAAAGTCATGACCATACCCCTGTAGCTGCACTAAACCACTCAACCATCGTGCTGCACTCCCCTCTAAATAGGATGCAGCCACAAGCATTTCCTCGTGCGGCAAGGTAAGTTTGCACTTAACATAGACCGGCATTGCCCTCAACCAAGTGTCGAGGTCTTCGCCTCTCTTATCCCCTGTAAAGGGTTTCGGAGCGGCGATCGCTGTCTTTGGTACCCACTGACTTTGTCCCAGTCCCTGCATCACTCCAGGTTGTGGACCCTGTGGTGCAGGCTGCCGCACTGACTACTGGGGCTGTGTACCCTCCTACTGTGCATGCTGCGAGACAGCAGGCTGCCCGCTTACGACAACCTGCGACGGAGGTTGGGTGAACACTGTCTGTATAGGAACCTGCAAACTAGGACGTGCTAAGAACCCTCCTGCTAACGGCATACCCAAGGAAACAGTCCGGACCGATGCTGGAGCTGTATATGGGGAAACCCCAGTCACCGGTGGGACAAAAGGAGGAGGATGTACAACGGGCCAGGCACCGGGCCCAGACGGTGATGGTGCCGCCTGCACTCGCCCGACTAACACAGCCAGACTCTGTTGGATGTCCTGTAAGATCTCCTTCTGGTGATCTTGCATCTCTACTACACTTAACAAGACCGGCCGTATGGTCCTCATATCATCCTCCATCTCTGCTGAGTCCATCTCCTCTAACTCGCTAATGTCTGCAAACTAGGACGTGCTAAGAACCTTCCTGCTAACGGCATACCCAGGATGCAGGAGCTATATATGGGGAAACCCCAGTCACCGGTGGGACAAAAGGAGGAGGATGTACAACGGGCCAGGCACAGGTCCCAGACGGGCAGGTGCCGCCTGCACTCGCCCGACTGACACAGCCAGACTCAGTTGGATGTCTTGCATCTCTACTACACTTAACAAGACCGACCGTATGGTCCTCATATCATCCTCCATCTCTGCTGGGTCCATCTCCTCTAACTCGCTAATGTCCGCTTGCCTCCGCTGCATCCTGGCTCTTCTTCTAATCATTCTCTCTTTCTTCGCCTTAATCTCACCCAAAGCCTGATGTAGTTGATCAGCAGCTCGCTGTATGGCGACCTCCTCGGAAGTCATCACTAATGGCTGGCTTGCCATAACGCCAGTGGACTGACTCTGGGTTTGTGCAACCATTGACCCTACAGACCCTGAACCGCCGGCCTGGGAACTCTGTTGCACAGCAGTTGCTATGGCTGCTGAAACAGCGGCTTCGCTTGCGAATGCTCTGCTGGTCTCTGCTGCCCTAGCCCTCCGCTGCTGCTGCTGCCTCTCCCTAAGCTGGCGGAACAGATATTTGTCGCCCTCTAGTCCTAAGGCCAAGTGGGCTATCGGGCGTCTAGCCGATCGCAAGATCCGGTCGTCCTCACTAGTGGTGTCCCTATCGCTCATATGCTACAGAACTGCATGAACTAGGACACACAATGGATGCCTACCGCAGCGACATGTACAGACCGATATAAATAGTCGGCGGCTTTTTCAGAGACTATACATTCGGGTCCAACAGGTAAGTTCAGATTCCTACGAATAAAACTATTTTTAGTTTGACTAGTTCTCGAACAGAATGCACAATGAACAGGAAACAGTTCTAATATGTTGTCTGTCAGATGTTAGTGGTTGTACATCTAACTAATCAAAGCATAAAAATAAAATCATTTGTGTGGATTTGGACAGTATGGAATTTTTCCCGAACTTATCACCTGAAATCTACCCCTCCCTCGGTTCCTCTTGAATGGTGCTTGACGTCAGCGTCGATGAGCCATCCAGAGAGCAGTGCGTGTCTAAAGGTGTGCAATCGGCCCACCCCTGTGCCCCGAGTCCTGTTGAGCTGGCCAGCTCTAGCACATTGTTTTATCCTCGCGTGCAGCGAGCCTTACACCGATTGGCTGATCAAGAGGCTATTTAAGGACCGGCCCCAAGTGTCCTCAGGAATTATTTAACAACGCAAACAGGACGACGATCACAGCAAATGGTTTCCCCTGCCGGTGTTTATTTATAGACGCCCGGTTCTCGTCTCCCACATAGGGCTGGCCTGCCCCTCAGAACCCATCTAACAGCGCAGCGAGCCGAACAAAGGACAAGCAGCACAGCATGCGTGCTCTACTCCTGGTGGGTTGGCATGGTGACCATGACCCAGTGCTTCGTCCAGGGCCCTTCAGAAAGCTCCGCCCATCTTCTCCCAGATGCTCCACGTGAACATTGTCAACTCTTAAGGTTGAGCGCACTCCACTCCTCTCAATCAGACGACTCTCAAGACGGAACACACATCCTCACGGTAAGAAGTGTCGAAGAGGGTAGATAAGGTTAAGAGCAACGTACCTCAAATAGCTGCCCCCAACCACAGAGATAATCTCACTAGATGACCTGACGCCGATTGTGATGACCAGTCATTGCTTCGGCACAACCAGCATTACACGCCGTTCCACCTCAGCACCAATCACACATCAGTTACTTCTCACCACACCGTCCAGAACCCACATTACAACGCATAGCCTTCCTGGCGAACCCCTCTCCTCATGGGTCGCCTACTCTTGCCTTCGCCCTCCTCACTACACACGTCCCACGGCACGGTTGCTCACCGCACACACCGCATGCATGTACCGCATCGGGCAGAAGACAAGCGCCAGATTAGCGCACCATACCACAGCTCTGATACCAAATTGCAAGGAAGATGAGCAATAGCGAGCTTCAGCAATCAAACAACATCATACACATGAGACCAGATAGTCGTGACCTCGAACCAAAAGCAGAAGTGCATCACGAGTTTCACCAAATAAGAGCACACCAAAAGCTCATAATTGACAATGCTGGAATAGTCTCATCATCATCATCAACGAAGAACCAATGTTGATATCCTATCTGTCGCTCGGCGCCCAGACTACAGATGGCAGATCCTATCTAGCCTACTCTACAATGCCGCGGATGACGTCAACAGCTCCCCGAAGTACGAGCGGATCTCGGCCAATGCCTCACGCTTCAAGCACCAGGTATGTCTCTCGTATCACTCATGCACCCAAGGACCACCATGCACCCCATCCAGCATACCGCAGCGCAGCTCGGCTATGGCTGCCTGCTGCTTCCAGCTTGCCCGTGAGCGCGTGAGCCTGGCAGGCGATAGCGCAGCAGCGCTTGTGCACAAAGCAGCCAGTGCCCGAATGTCCAATGCGTAGGCAGGCCATTCCCTATTTCGAAGTGGCCTGCGGCTGCGTGCTGTGCTGCGGTACTGGCCCCGGTCCAGAAGCTTCCGGTAGGCCCAGGGAGGCTGAGCCTCAGTCCGAAGTCAACAGGCCCAGGGCCTGTGGTGGTTACCAGCGCCCAACTGCCCTCAGCCTTTGTTCGATCCATTTTGTGTATCCGGCCCAGGGCCTAACTCAGTCACATGCAATGCAAGGCAGCCTGGGCCTGGGCGCTTCCAACCAACTGGCACTGCCCAACTGCCTGAATTTCCCCAGTTGCGTAGTAGTCCAAAATAGGCCTCTTGAGGTCTGTCGAGGCTGCCTTCACTTAGGGCGGCCGACGCTTGTTGCAAATAGGGGCCCAGTAGGCCTTATCGAGGCCTTGTGCCTCGCACTACCGTCTTCACCCAAAAATAACGCCCGGACATTATATTCGAATAGAACGCCCGGCTGTTATACTTGAATGTGCAATGGACAGAGTGCCTTGTAAAAGGTGTATACATGGGTTTCAAAGGTGGGGAGGGGGCTATGCATGTTTTTTAAATGGGGTTGAAAGGGGTTTTATGTTTTGGTTTGATTTTTTGTTTTCTTTTCTTTTTCCCGAATTTATAAGGCATTCTGAAGTGACCCTGAGCCAAAAGTTGGTTGCATTGCAATTCTAGACAGCAATTTTCTTTACAGAAATTTTTGATTTTTATTTTTTATTATTTTATGGCCCCACCGAAGTTGCCACCAATTTATGGAATATAACGCCCACCGTGCGTTATATCCCTATACAACGCCTGGGCATTATTTTCGGGTGAAGCCGGTAGCGTTCTGAGGGAAGTCTGGACGAGGAGGATAGACTTTGGACAATGCGTGGGGTGCTGATGCTACGGGAATTCAGTTAGGAGATACAGATGCCAGTGTGGTTGGTGCCAGTGGTTCGAGCAGCCCCATATGGATGCATTGCAGAGAACAAGTCCGCAAGAGGACAATTTCAACGAGTACCAGGAGGAAGAGGAATACGAGTGAATAGACAAAACCACTCATATGGACGCTGCACCCAAACAACGCAGAATATGTAAGAGGCCTCCAGCAGCAGACAAATCACCTGAGATTCAAGACATATTTCAAAACTTGGTTACTAAGCACTGTCCGTTCTCAATCTGCAGAGCTATGAGCATGTTCTTACAGGACTTTGAAGTGGGCCAGAGGCAATGGTGGGGGGTGGGGGGCCGGCAGGTGCGCCGACGAATGGGGAAGCGGGGGAGGGCGGGCGGGCGGGTGGGCGAGTGAGTGGGTGGGTAGGGAGGTGGGCGGTTGGGCAGAAGGTCTTAAGCTGTTTTGGCGCATTTCCTTTGCCGTCTTTCCCTAACAATATCGTTTGCATCAGGGTCGGAAGTCGTCAACCACTATATTAGTGTGTCATCCAGCCGCAAGACTGGGAGGGCGAGCTTCACTCTTTAACATTCTCTCCAGTGGCTTTTCTTGCCTTCCACTATTTTGAGAGCCATGCCAGCAGTCAGCGACACACTCATCTCCAAGCACCAAGGATAAGCACATCTGATTCTTACAAAGAATGGCCACGCTCAAACTGCTTATTCTTGAGGTTTTGCGCTTGATCATGAAGCCAGGAAAGCAAAGCCTGTCAATGTGACAACACAAACATCCAAAATGGCTGCCCTTGTTAGTGTACTCCATCAGTCCCTCCTGTCAAAGTACAACTACCAACTGCAGGGTTCACAAACCAAGGGAACACGCGACTAATAACAGAGATGAGCCACAAGGTCTAGAAACCAAGGACACAAACAGACGATAACAGAGATTAGCCATCTGTAACTGTAAGGAAAGTAAGAAAACACATTCTTGAACAGAGTCTGTGAGGAAAGGCTTCCTGGGACTCAGCATGCACGCACATACCTCATCACACATGAGGGATGCAAGGAGGGAGACATGCATGGAAGAAAGATCCTTCCTTGCCCACATATGCATGCAGAGAAGTACCACGGATGACAAGGATGGGGAATAAGATGAACGTGGGAGAACTAGAAGAACAAGACACTGCAACTCAATGCATCAGATGAATGATACTCGCGTCAAAGTCCCACAATAGCAATCAGTTCGAACGTCATCTGGAAGTGCCCTCAAGTCCCTGATCTCTCTCTCTCTCTCTCTCTCTCTCTCTCTCTCTATATATATATCGTCAAATAGAACTGCCCGGTAAACCGTAGGCAGAGATATATATATATATATATATAT